AAAGTAATTGAAACATGTCCAGGAAAGTTAGAAACGACAATGGCTGCCACTATGCTTAATGGACCTCTTATCATATTTGGGTCTTAGGCACTCAAGCTCATGTGTTGTGTATCTAATTCACCTAACTTTTACGGGATTCACTTTAAGCATATTTATTTATATGCTTAATTAAGATTAGTTTAGTTGCTAACTATAGTTACTGTGATGGCAATGGCATGATAATCCCAAACAAAATCTCTCCAACATGGGCGGAATCGTACGGTTGGAGTTGGATGTTGTTGATATATTTCTAACAAAATCTTTCAAGGTTCAATCTCACTGGCTACCTCAATTTCCATAGCCAACAGTGCATCGACCTAAGCTTACGCTTAATTATATGGATTTTATTGTATTAATTTTTCTTAATTATAGCAAGTGGCCATTTCTGTTTGGTTGGTTTTGGCATCAGGTCTAAAGCCACCAAGGTTTTATCTATTCGTTACACACAAAAGTTAGCGGACTTTTTGTTTCCACTAAAGCAAAAATTAAGGGCTTAATTGCATGTAGCTTTTGAAGGGGAGATACCGTAGATTATACCAATGGAAAAGAATGTCGACGAGGAAATCTTGATTGGCTTTAAACTAGAAAGTCGCTCTATTCCAATTCCTTCACTTTACACGAAAACAAGAGCTGGTTCATGATGAATACTTTTGGCCAAAACCTGGTTCTATTCTATATGGGGCTTTTATAGAAAAGATGTCTTTATTTTCCTTCGAATAAGACTATCTTGTCTATAGACCGTAAACTAATTATTTATGAGAACTGTTCAGTTTGTAGGTTATCTTTCAAGAATTATCAATTCAAAAACCACTCTTATAAACAAAACAAAGAGGTTGGTTACTTAGTGATCAAGGCTATATAATATTGACAGTGGAATTTCAAACGCATATGCTCTTTTGCGCATGCATATACGCGCCCGTTTGATAACCATTTCAATTTTAGTTTTTAGTTTTCATTTTTTGTGTTAGATTATAGAGAAAAAAGATAGAGAATGGAAGTGAGAATGAGAGTGAAGATGGAATCAGGGACGGAAAGAATTATCAATTCAAAAACCACTCTTATAAACAAAACAAAGAGGTTGGTTACTTAGTGATCAAGGCTATATAATATTGACGGTGGAATTTCAAACGCATATGCTCTTTTGCGCATGCATATACGCGACCGTTTGATAACCATTTCAATTTTAGTTTTTAGTTTTCATTTTTTGTGTTAGATTATAGAGAAAAAAGATAGAGAATGGAAGTGAGAATGAGAGTGAAGATGGAATCAGGAACGGACCCAAAATTTCAAATTGGGGTGGGGGCTAAGTTTACCTTACACACATAGTTATTAAACTTGACAGTATGAAGTAAAATTCATTGATAACAAAAGACTACACCCAATCATGATGACATAATGAGTTTTACCCCTCAAAATGCATCTAGTACATAGTTCTTTTATATTTTCTACGTGCAGGGGTGTGTGAAGTGAAGTAGGGTTATTTTTTACCAAAAAAGTAAAAAAGAGGGGTTGTTTTTTACCAAAAAATAAAAGAAACAAAGGGTTTTTTGTGTTTGGCCTTTGGCCCCTTTTGTACTAAAAAGAAAAAGAGATAAAAAAGGAGGTGAAGGGGGATAATGAGAGTGCAGTGCAGGGCTATTCATTGGGTGGAATGGGTGTATCAGTTTAAGCTTAAAAAGACAAAGTTACCTGGCCCAGGTTAGTCAAAGGGTAGGTCCGTCTATTGATGAAATTGAGAGGGAAGATAAGAGGGGAGGATGAGAGAGATAAGTAACAAAAGTGAAGAAAAAAAACTAAAAACGGAAATGTATTTGAAATTATTTTCACTTTAAAGTTTTTGTTTTCATTTTTGTTACTCCTCCCTCCCATCTTCTCCTCTAATCCTCTCTCTCAATATCATCCTTACTCTAATTTTTCTCTGTACTCTAGCACAAAAAATGAAAACTAAAAACTAAAATTAAAATAATTATCAAATGAGCCCATTTGTATAAGTATTTTTTTGTTTTGATTTTTTAAAGTTAATATATATATATCGATTAAGCAACCATCTACATGTGTGTATGTACGTATATAAAATAAACCTTCACTGCACGCATATAAATAAGATAGAAACTACATAATGGGAGTTGGCCTTCTTCTTTTCAAATCTTACCCAAATCCATCCTTAATTGATAGAGCTTGTCAAACGCAGCAAGCTCGATTCTCTTGTCCAAGTCATATCTTTTTAACCAGAAAGATCCCTGGATGATTTATCTCTGCGCCATAATTAAATTAGAAAACAATTAATTGAGAATACTAAATTCTAAAAGAAGTGAATATGAACTTTTCAAAGTCATTATTGTTTAAATAGGAACCAAATTATTAAGTAAATATATATAACGCCGCCTAACCTATGGTAAGTATTTGGTCCCCACCTAATCAAACTTTCCACTCCAAACCTAGAGACTAGAGAGAAGAAATAAAAGATACATTATTTGGGTGGATGATATTGAAGCTAGAATTTAATTTATAAAATTAACGTGACTAACTGCACATCGTCATTCGTGTTACAATGAAGAAACCAAAAAGCTCACTTCCTTGTGCAGCCAATGGGCCATTAATGGAGGAAGAAGAAGGAAATTAAAAAGGTTGGAAATTTCTCAAGTGGAACTTTGATGTAGAGTGATGCAGAGTGCCACTTAATAAAAACACCCACCAACTAGACCATGTATGCAAAGGCCAAGAAACAACACCTTTCATTTTAAAGGATCAGATTTATTAATTACTCAATAAAGTAAAAAGATACTAAATATATTATTTTATTATTATGCAAATTTCATATCATTTTATTGTCAAGGGCACCATTATTATTACATCTTTGGGTGACCATGCTCAGAGACTCACACCCAAACATTGTACATTGATCGATCACCATTGTCACGCTCATGCATTATTCAAAATTAAACTATTGTTTGCTATTAAAGTGCGATTGATTGGGGATGTACAAAAGAATGTTATTCTCATTTCACACATGGTTGTCAAAAGAAAGTAAGTAAAAATATGTTGGTAACGTACATATTTGAAAGCGAAAGACAACATACATATACCAGCTTTGCTCTTATCAATAACACCAGTAATTAGTACACGGTTACCAAACATATCCCTGCACATATGCTAAGAGAAATCTCATTTGCAACCCATATATGGATTTGTATAACTAAAATTAATTGTTTGAAAATAAAATAAGGGAGATTCACTATTATACCCAATATAGGAGCCCAAATTATTATTAAAAAAAACCTATATGAAATGGACTTTAGAAACACACCCAAAGCCCATTTACAACATAACAAAAAGCTTTTAACTTATTTTAAACTAGCCTCTCTGCATGCGCATCCGCGCCTGCGAGAGGCTTTTTAAAAGAAAAAAAAAACCAAGAAACAACACCTTTCATTTTAAAGGATCAGATTTATTAATTACTCAATAAAGTAAAAAGATACTAAATATATTATTTTATTATTATGCAAATTTCATATCATTTTATTGTCAAGGGCACCATTATTATTACATCTTTGGGTGACCATGCTCAGAGACTCACACCCAAACATTGTACATTGATCGATCACCATTGTCACGCTCATGCATTATTCAAAATTAAACTATTGTTTGCTATTAAAGTGCGATTGATTGGGGATGTACAAAAGAATGTTATTCTCATTTCACACATGGTTGTCAAAAGAAAGTAAGTAAAAATATGTTGGTAACGTACATATTTGAAAGCGAAAGACAACATACATATACCAGCTTTGCTCTTATCAATAACACCAGTAATTAGTACACGGTTACCAAACATATCCCTGCACATATGCTAAGAGAAATCTCATTTGCAACCCATATATGGATTTGTATAACTAAAATTAATTGTTTGAAAATAAAATAAGGGAGATTCACTATTATACCCAATATAGGAGCCCAAATTATTATTAAAAAAAACCTATATGAAATGGACTTTAGAAACACACCCAAAGCCCATTTACAACATAACAAAAAGCTTTTAACTTATTTTAAACTAGCCTCTCTGCATGCGCATCCGCGACTGCGAGAGGCTTTTTAAAAGAAAAAAATAAATTTATTTTAGAATTAAAAAAGATAATGGGTAGTTGCGTTCCATAAAAAGAGGATCCATTATCTGATTTTTCTTTTAATTTTAAATCTTTTTAATATGAAAAAGTGTAAATTTACCATATTATCCTCACTTAATTAATAATTTCAATTCTTAATGTTTGCATTAACCAAGGGCATTTTCTGGTATTTTGAATGTTTCACCATTCTCTGCCTTTTGCTTTATATATATAGATAGATTACAAAACTGTTATTGATTTTTTTAAACAAATCCAACCCCAAAACCTCATAAAAAAGCCCAAAACACTCAATAGGGCATCAAAGTAATTTAATAATTAAAATTAAATTCAATAGGGGGCCAGCTGTCACTTTTTGAGTTTTTTTAGTTTGTTTATAGCAACTAAATGGTGTAGGGTTTATTTATAATATTAGTGCTAAAAATGAATATATGACTAAATATCTCATAAAATAATGATTCTACCTGAAAAAAAAAAGAAAAAAGAATGTGGTATTTTGCTTACGAGTGAGTAGTGTCATGTCATGCTTCTTATCCATACGAAAAGAATGTGGTATTTTGCTTGCTAGTGAATAAAGAAATAAATAGAGAGATACATGCAACGCAGGCTTCCACCCTAATCCTAAACCAAACTCCTCCCTTTGTATTGTATAAGTGAAGGGCATTAAGAAGAAACCCTAAACTAAACCAAACTCTGGGTCTGTCTGGGGGTATTGGTGGCCCAGATAGCCATGTCCGTATATAAATTAATAATTGCCCACGAACGTTAGTGGAAATACTGAGGGTGCATATTTTATTGTCTCCCCTATAATTGATTTGATAAAACCTACAACCCCGTACGTCACCACCCAACGGATATTCATATTCATATATATCTCCAATCCAATCCCATGAGAAAAATTATTTCCAAACCCTCCACCACCAGCTGCTCAGAATTAAAGCAATACAAGACTAGCTCAATTAAAATCACCACCAACCATACATACACACACACAGCATCTCCAGTCCACCGCCATTAATTACTCACTTACAAAAAGAAAAAGAACGACTGAAAGATTATTGAAGTTCAGAAAAATGGCCGAAGAATGCAGAGAAAGTACTTCTTGTGTTGCAATCTCTTCTTCCTCTCCACAGCTAGCACAACCAAACTGGTGGGATCTCCATGCAGCTGCAGCTGCAGGGGCAGCAGGCTCTCAGCTCTCTTCATGGAGCAACTTGGGTATCAACCCATGGCAGCCGCAGCCGCCGCAGCAGCAGCCAAACCAGAAGTACTCCAACTCTTCTAATAATTGTGATGATGTTGACCAGGATGTTTCAATCTCCAGCACTTCCTTTACCAATGCCTCCAACCACTCAAGCCTTAGCGTTGACTCCTCTCGCAGACTGCAGGTTGCTGATCAGCGTTCTGCGTCTCCCAACAACGATATGATCAACGGAGAGCAGGTTTCTGACAATCATATTTGGAACCATGTTCTCTTGTAAGTAGACAAATTTTCTATATAATATATAGTTTCATATAATAAGGGCAGCTAGTAATTAAAAGTGTGATATTGATTTCATATAAAAACTTAGAGGTTAACTTGTATATGTGATAATCGATTGATGTCTAAGGTTGAACCATGCATGCAGAAGCGTTAATGGAAACAATGATTTACACCACAATGATCATGATGTTGGAGAGAATTTTCTCGATGCGCTGTCGTCCAAGAGCTTGTCAACTGATCATGTCATGTATGAACCTGCTTGCGACTACTTGAAGAAACTGGACAACAGTACTTGGGAGTTCACAAAGTACGTCTCAGCTGCATCGAATAATTTCAACAGTTTCGAGAAGCAATTAAATGGAGGGTTTATGGAGAACAACAACATGAATAATAATGTTAATATTGAGAACGAAAGGTTAACCAAGTTGTCAAATATGGTGAACACCTGGTCCATTGCGCCCCCAGAACCACAGCTAGTTATGGATCATGATCACCATCACTACTTGAAGCCGCAAGCGTTCATCAATAACGATTCGACTTCATGTGATGCTCAGATGGGAAATAATAATATTACAAATAGAAACTCCGGATCGAGTTTATTTCCAAGTTATGGTAGCAAGGTTGAGGCTGCATGCGTAGCAGGAGGAGGAGGAGCTATACATGGAATAACACCGTCGTTTGGTAATAATACTAATGGCATTGAATATCAGATTGGCCTCAACAACGTTAACGCAATGGTTGCAGATCACCATAACGGCAAGTACTTGTATGGAAATGGATCAATTTTGCCCGATTCTTATTCTTCATGCGGTGCTACGAGTGCCGGTGCCAGAAATTTTGCAGATGTTATATCTTTTAGTAGCCGATTAGGCAACAAGTCGGCCTTGGTTGATATTCATGCACCCAAGCCCTGTTTCAAATCTTCCAACTTATCTGATCAGTATTCTAAGAAGCAAGCTTCCTCGGTAAGCTCAATTAATTAAGTGATTAATTTATTCTTAAAGTCAATTTACCTTTAATGAATTTCAATTTCTTTGCATAACACGCAGACAAGAGTGAGTGGTGGAAGAGGACAAGGTATTGCAAATGAAGGAAAGAAGAAAAGAACGGACGACACATCATCAGAAACAGTCTTGAAAAAGCCTAAGCAAGAAACTTCTACAGTTTCATCATCTGTAAAGGTACTCTATACAGAAGAAAAAGGCAAAGGACAAAAGAAATCATGCTTCATCTTTGTTAATTAATTCGGATATAATAATATTAACTTTTGCCTTTTGAATTGTTAATTTACAAATTGAATCGACAGATGCAGGCACCAAAAGTCAAGCTCGGGGACAGGATCACGGCCCTTCAACAAATCGTGTCTCCATTTGGAAAGGTTAGTAGAAATCAGCCACACATGTACAACCTGCTAATTATTATTTTCATTTAAACTGGATTAATTCTTGTTTTTCACACTCTCTATTTCATAATTCATCATCATATATATTCATTATATTTAGTTTAATTTTCAGACTGATACTGCATCTGTACTATATGAAGCGATTCAGTACATCAAGTTCCTGCAAGACCAAGTGCATGTGGTATATTATATATCATATATAATCTTTCTGTTTAATAGTTCGTTTGGGAATCTCTTGTTGCAAATTTACGCTCGAAGAAAATAGTATTTCCAGATTGTTACATCCTCTAAGCTACATTTCCATGATTTTGCAGCTATTGAATAGCCCTTATTTGAAGACAAATTCACACAAGGTATGTACACGCGTATACATATACATACACACATGATATATATATATTATAATTTGTATATATGCTAATCAATTAGTGTTGGTGGTTTTAGGATCCATGGGCGACCGATAGAAAAGATCACAAGGGAGATGCAAAGGTTGACCTCAAGAACAAAGGCCTTTGCTTGGTGCCTATTTCATGCACACCTCAGGTTTATCGTGAGAATACAGGATCAGACTATTGGACACCAACATATAGAGGATGTTTGTATAGATGAACTATAAGATTACTTTATATTTCATATTTTCTTGCTGTCAATGTGATAGTTATAGTGTAGAAGAAAAAAGAAAAAAACAGCCTCACTGCATGCATGTTAAGTTTATATCTTCTCAAAAGAATGGGAAGCAACTATCTTGTATTATGGCTTTAGGCTTATGATTAAGATTCAGCTGTGGCCTAATTAATAGTTACTACTTCACATTTGCATAATGCATACATATTTGTGTTAATCAGCTGATGACCAAATGCATACGATACAATACGATGACTTAACTCATCTCTCGAAATTATTATTCTAAGAATACTTTGATGTGTTATTCGTATAGTTAGAAGATATATGAACTCAATCTAACATCAAAATTAAGACGTTAATTGCTACAGAGCATCAAGATATGTATGTAAATAGTGGGTTGTGTTTTGGAAAGTCAACAGTTCACTCTTTCTGATCTGACTTTCTTCAATTCTTGTAAAAGAACTGAAACCCATCCCAAAAGTCTAATCACATGCAAAAGAACAACCAGTTAAAGTTCCTAGCTGCTTCAAATTGTTCAACAGCTAATGAGCTAGAGTAACAAGGGGAACTAAAGTTTTACCATAAATTTCCATTCGATCTCTTTCTTGGGTTGGGAGAATGAATGTACGTGAAATAAATTTATCTCTCTCCTCCTATCACATAATCTATTGGAGAAGAGACAGATATGACTCTTTTATTTTACGTCAACCCCCAACAGTAAGCATACATATTATTTGTTGAAAAGTACGGAAAATGTAATATCCTAAAATACGACGAAAAAAAAAGTTTTACATAATATATATATAAATGGGAAGTTAAAAAAAATGGAGATTCACTATTACACCCGATATAGGAGCTCAAATTATAAATAAAAAAAAACATACATGAAATGGACTTTAGAAACACGCCCAAAATCCATTTACAACATAACGAAAAGGCTTTTAACTTCTTTTAAATTACAAAACGTCATTGATTTCTTAAAACAAACCCAACCCCAAAAACTTATATAAAAAAAACTCAAAACACTTAATAGGACATCAAAGTAATTTAATAATCAAAATAAAATTCAATATGGTAAGCTGTCATTTTTTGAGGTTTTTTTGGGTTTGTTTATATAAATTAAATGATGTATAGTTTATCTATATTATTAGTGCTAAGAATAAGTATATGACTAAATATCTCTAAAAAATAACCTCAGTACAGTCGGTAGCTAGAATGACTGAAAATCATCATGATTCATGAGGAATGACTAAACTAAATATATTCTCCATTTCTGAAATGATCTATAGAATGATCACCAAATTGTTGAATGCGAAATATTGGTGGAGGAGTTAGTACTTGCAAGTTGGCCACCACTCATCACTTTGCTTTGTCCTCAGCTCATCGCATGAAAATACAAGATTACTTCTAGAACCTACAAAGTTGACAAAGGGCAAAAGTGAATGCAAGGGAGCAATGGTCAAAGCGGAGATGAGCATAAAGTGCAAAACTTAGAGTGGTGGTGCACTTCAACGTGTTATTGGTGTTCTTCTCAATGAAAGCTAGAGGAGACTCTTTCTACATTGCATTTTATTGATCCCACCCTCTAATTTTCAAGTGATCTTGCTTCATAATTATCTCTACACAAAATTTTAAAATTTTCAACCATTTGATTAGAAAATAAATGTGTTCATCTATTTATTTTATCACAACTAAATATCTTAATAATATAATATTTATCTCTTTTTTTTTTCTTGCAAGAGTGATCTATAAATAAAGATCGAGGGGACGAATTGACATCAGACATTGACCGTGGGCCGTGGCTATGTGTAATAATTGAAAAATAAGTAACATTTTGTCTCAATATCCACGTCTAATTGTTTTTCAGCCACAAATACATCGTGGCCGTATATTTGGTGCCATAGATGTACAGTAATTGTGGCTATTACATCAGCAATGGCGACAATTTAGATGCGGTGGCTTCTACTCAATTTTCTAGTAGTGATCCCAGTGGCTGACCAAACCATTCAAAACCTCATTATATAATTATTAATTTTTTACTGGTAGTGCTATAACTATATCGAGTTTGACTAGTGCCTTTTTGATGGCCAAAGTAGAAGCAGGCCTGCAATCTCATGGTCGTTGAAGGATGATCACCATCATCATGTCATGTCTCTAGCTATGAATTTAATTATATATTAAATTTTTCAAGGGAATCAACAGAAAAATTAAAGCATTTCGAATGCTTGAACAATGGTACTAGCTAGTAGCTACCTTCCCCCTAATTTTATTTCCAGGTGATGAAGAAGATCTCGTAGGATGCTTCATTTTCTCATTTTCTTTATGGCCATTGGCATCGCTTCACATTTATTACCATGCGGAAAAAATTCTGTATTACCCTCGTTATATAATCACCCCTTAAATATATAATTTAGATTAAGTATAAATAAATAAAGAAACTGAAAATAAGTCTCACGAGAATGATACATAGATGGGTTGGCAACAATTTGACTGCAAGAATTTGTATGAATCCTCATTATCTGTTGGTGCCCATCATCTTGTAGAAAAATTTGTGCGAAACGGGAATAATATTATTTTGCTTTTTCATCGAATCATAAATTATCAAGTGAAAAAGTTATAACGCGTGGCATGCCGTGATTGGTAGAGGATCATTTCACACAAGTGTTTTTCCTGCATCTTGTTGTAATCTAATGTTTTTAGAATTTTATTTCTTTTATTTTTTGGTCGAATGTTCTTAGAATGTGTTTCTCCTGCATCCTCGTTACATAAATTCGTTCTTTTTAAGCATATATGGATTAGTCAAGTTAGATAGAGCGGATGTGCTCTGTTGTGTGGATTTCAGCTGCCCCAAAATGGATTCAGTTGCATCCTCAACTTGTGATCCTCGCAAGTGCACGAGCCGTTTGGTAGTATAGCATATGTAAGTGCGAGGTCGATCCCACGAGGATTGGTGATTGAATGATCCAATTCATTTCCCTACACAAAACAGAAATGAAAAAGAAAGGAAATAAATAA